CTGCCACGAAATGGAAATTAGAAATGACGGCGCCTATACTCGCTAGTATGCTCAAGAAAAGAATTTCTTTTCGTTCAAAGATTTTTTCCTGAAACAGCTTATATCTGTTAGAATACTTAAGGAGCAAGTCGTTTAATTTTACGAGCCTAATAAAAAATGGGGAGAGGGGTTCAACACCTTTGCGAAGTTACCATCGTCACAAATTTGAAATGTCTCTCTGAACGTTCAATTTTTCATTAATGCTGTTCAGTACCTCATTTGCCAGAAATCTTGACTGTACCGGAAAAATTCTGAAAAAGCACAACTAATAAACTTATGAATGCTCAACTGTTTCCAAACAACCAAGCGCCAACTGGATAGTCTAGTCTTATAGTGGCCTACTGTTTACCGCTCTAATTTAGACTGAATGCTTGAACGGGGAGAAGGAACTTTCTGAGCTACACAGTGACTTTACGTGAAACATCAACGAAGATGAGACATCGATTTTTGGCTAAAAAACACTACTCTTCTACCAAAGTAGCATGGATTGAAGGTTCATACCGAGAACATTTTAGTGTTTGCAGGTTTAATCCGCATTGAACATTCTAACAACATATGAACTAGTGCGAAATCATGGTACATTATAACAATTTGAAATCCTTGCTTATCTAAAATGAAGCTTTTTTCTATTTACAGGTCGCTTCCAGCCATCAAAGCTACGGAATTAAAAAAGTCATGGAAAAAAGAAAGAAAGCGCAATATTGGTAAACTAGAATAACTGTTGGGACAATAAATGTAGAGTTTCAAGAAACATCTTGAAAAAGCAAAACCAAACTTTTGTCTCGCATAGATCGAAACTTTTAGAAAAAAAAAACGAATTTTCCTCTTAACGGAAGCTCCAAAGGCAGACTGAGGATGAAACGCCTTACAGGACTTACACAACAACTAAGTACGTAATATTTCTACCAGAGTGAACGTCGTGTTAATGTTAGAAGTAACAGTTTTCAAAGGTCCCCACTGTCGTAGTTTACAAAGACTAAAATTAATCACTAATAAAAGATGATGCCTCATATATCATCTTTCAGGTAATCCCCGTTCAACCGGACCACAATTCGATAAAAATCTAGAACATGTGCTTCTCCTCACCAAAAAGAGACAGGAGTTTACCAGAGTAATAAGTAATTAATATATGCATAGTATCTATTGGAATTTTGATGCGTAAATCTGGGACACATAAAGCACAGAAAATTACGGTGAGCTGTCGAACAAGACAACGATATTTTATATCAAACGCTAAACAGAAACAGCAGCGGATAAGATGCTTTCGGCATCAGCATTCGTTTATGCTACTACCACTGACAAAACGAATCTCAGCCCACCGATCTTTGAACTTCACGGAGAAACAAATTTAACAGAGACGTTAAGATTTTTGTTCATTTATTCATCCTAAAACAAAAAATGAAACCCTTATGACAAGCGAGAAAACAGTCCACAACAAACTAACCAAAAAAAAAAAAAA